TTTTCTAGGATCTGCATGAACTGCTTGAAAACAAAGTTTTTCACTGTAGTATAGTCATAGAGCTGTACAGCACGGAAACACACCCTTCAATTCAACTCATCTCTGCCGACCAGATATCCTAAATTAATCTAGTCCTACTTGCCAGCTTTTGGCCCATATCCATCTAAACCCTTCATATAACCATCCAGGTGCCTTTTAAATGTTGTTATTGTGCCATGCTAGACCACTTCCTCGGGCGCTCGTTCTATACACACAGCACCCTCTGTGTGAAAACATTGTCCCTTAGGTCCATTTTAAATCCTGCTCTTCTCACCTTAAACCTATGCCCCTCTAGTTTTGGACTCCCACATCCTGAGGAAAAGACCTTGGCTATTCAGCCTATCCATGCCCCTCATGATTTTATAAACATCTACAAGGTCACCACTCAGCCTCTAACACTCCAGGGAAAATAGCCCCAGCCTATTCAGACTCTCTCTATAGTTCAAAACCTCTAAGCCTGGCAACATCCTTGTAAATCTTTTCTGAACCCTTTCAAGTTTCACAACATTCTTCCAATAGCAGGGAGACCAGAAATGCAAGCAGTATTCCAAAAGTGGCCTAACCAATGTCCTGTGCAGCTGCAACATAACCTCCCAACTCCTATACTCAATGCACTGACCAATGAAGGCAAGCGTACGAAATGCCTTCTGCACTATCACATCTAGCGGAGACTCCACTTTCAAGGAACCATGATCCTGCACTCCAAGGTCTTTTTGTTCAGCAACACTCCCCAGGACTTTACCATTAATTGTATAAGTCCTGCCCTGATTTGCATTTCCGAAATGCAGCACCTCACACTTATCTAAATTAAACTCCATCTGCCATTCCTCAGCACATTGGCCCATCTGAGCAAGATCCAGTTGTACTCTGAGGTAACCTTCTTCACCGTCCACTACACCTCCAATTTTGGTGTCATGTGCAAACTTACTAACCATACCTCCTATGTAATAATCATGGATTCCCTACAGCATGGATACAGGCCCTTTGGCTCAACAAGTCTACACCGACCGTCAGAGCATCCCACCCAGACCCATCCCCCTAATCTACACATCCCTGAACAGTACAGGCAACAGAGCACTCCATCGCACAGGTTAGCCAAAGAACTACAAAGAAGACTCAGGCACCTAGTCAACAAGTCACCCCACTCTATCCACTCAGCCCAAGAATTCCTCAACTCCATCAAAGACATAAAGATAGAGGACAAAGAGACCATGATATCGTTTGATGTCACTGCTCTATTCACATCAATAGACATACCACTAGCAAGGGAAACAATGACAACACTACTCGAACAAGAACATGACCCCAGTAAAACCATCTCCAAGGACAACATGCTCAAACTATTGGACCCATGCCTGACCACCCACTTCACCTTCATCGGCCAAACATACGAGTAAATCAACAGGACACCCATGGGATCACCTATCTCTGGACTCATAGCAGAAGCATTGATGCAAAGACTGGAAAGGACTGCCCTTCCACAAATCCAACCTAAACTGTGGATACGCCACGTAGATGACACCTTCGTCATCATTAAACGGACCACATTAGAAGAGACACACAAACTTATAAACAACACCCTCACCGGAATAAAATTCACCAGACAGGAGGAGAAGAACAAACACTCCCATTCCTGGGTGTCGTGGTAGAGCGCAAGACAAATGGGGAACTGCAAATGAAAGTACACCGAAAAGCCACACACACGGACCAGGTATTGAACTTCAACAGTAACCATCCCAGCACACACAAATGAAGCTGCATGCGAACACTATTTAAAAGGGCAACAATACACTCCAGCAACACGGAACTATGCCAAGAAGAAGAAGAATACCTCTTCCAGGTTTTCGAGGATAATGGATATCCAAAGAATTGGGTCAGAAGATGCCTACACGAACAGCATCAGAAAGAGACTACACGCCCTGACACACTCATCACACTACCCTATATCAGAAACACATCGGAACTCACCATAAGACTTCTACGACCGCTGGGCCTCAGAGTGGCACACAAGCCCACATCAACCCTACGACAACTGCTCACCCGAACTAAGGACCCACTCCCTGCCATGGACAGGACCAATGTCATCTACAAGATCCCCTGCAGAGACTACGAGAAACACTACATCGGACAAACAGGAAGGAAACTAACAACAGAGTACATGAACACCAACTGGCTACAAAAAGACACGACCAATACTCACTCATCTCAATCCACATGGACAAGGAGAACCACCAATTCGTCAACAACACCAAGATCCTGGGACAGGCTAGGCAGAGACAGGCACGAGAATTCCTAGAAGCATGGCACTCCACGAAGCATGCTTTTAATAAACACATTGAACTCGACCCCATATACATTCCACAACGAGGGAAAACCGGAAGTGAGGCAATCCATCTCAACGGACCCCAGAGTTTAAAAACCAGGCGGGAAAACACACTGACGCTTCATCGGAGGCTGCACTGAGGATGTTACCAAGCATGGTAACGAAACATCTGCGAAACAAGAAACCAGCTCGGCGAGCCAACCAACCTCAACAACCTCAATATAATGGAAAAGTTAGAATCATCAGCAGCAGGGGGTCGACTGGAGATTGTAGAAATATGTGATGGCAATTTTGCCTTTGATAGGCTTTCAAAAGAGTTGACAAAAGGAGCAACTGGGATAGAAACAGTCCAGAATTAGGCAGAAAAGTAAAAAAATAAAGAAAATGTGTTCATCTTTACCTTGTTGTTAAGTGCTCCGTCATGGGCCTAGTGTCCAGGCACAAGTCCTCGACACCGCACTGCCACTGGAACAAAAGTCATCACACTTCAGCATCAACCACCGACACCCTCACCGCTATAAGTCCTCGTTGAACCCTGCCAACGTAGACACCACCGATGCCCCAAACTCAACTCTGCCGCCACCACGTGTTCACTTTGGGCCCACCTCACCAATGCAGCCACTGCTGATGCCACCAGGTCTTGTACTGGGCCCAAATTCACACCGGGCCCAAACTGAAGCAAAGCTGTGGTGTAATGTCACCCAGTTATGTCTGTGTATTGTTGATCCACTGGGTTTCGTCCAAATCAACAGTGGATTTTCTTTGTGTCTTTAAACAGATTTCATGAACATACCAAGAGCCCTCAAGTTTCATTGAGATTAAGTCTTTGAGAACAGGAGAATCCTGAACTGACTGATCACTTGAGTCTCCAATATAAAAACACTGCTTAAAACCACGAAGCTTATAAAACTGCGACATAACTGATTCTCAAAATGGGAATGATAAAAATACTTGATCCAAGTTACTAGTATAAACAGAAGCAATGTTGAAATTTAATTGAACTACATTGGGACAAAGGAATTAAAATTTGTAAATTTTCATTTCAAGAAAGAGCCAAATCAAAATAACCTAGGGTGATTTTGATTTATATCAAAAAATAAGGGAAAGATTGTTTGGGAAGAAATAAATTGCCCACTAATGAACCTGTCAGCCCAACAATATTGCTCAGGCCTCAAGTCTGTTGTTGCCATATTTGAATGCAGAATAATTTTAAAAGAAAGGAAAGTTGAGTATAATCTAGCAAGTTAATTTTGAGACAAGTGTTATGTATTTTCTGTAAGACAGGCCAAACAATCAGAATTCGATAACACTTAAAACCAAACTGCAATATTTGTTCATCTGTTCCAAAGATATTATGAAAATATGTCTATTTTAAACTAGGCAGTAAAGTTTCTCCAGAGCTCCTGAATTAGATAGAATGGGAATTAATGGAATAGTCCCATTTAGGATAAAAGAACAGTGGCAGTGAAAAAATGGCACAACATCAAATGGAAATGGCAATGACTTACCTTAGGCATAGTTAAATGGAATATATCAGTGAAAGGAAACTGTAGGCGAAATTAAATAATTAACATCTTTCTCTTGGAGAAATGTGCCTCTTTTCCTTTGAGCTTTCTTTTAAGAGAACAGAATTAGACAACTTGGCCGTCCCCCAAAACATAGCAACCAGGCGGGAGGATACACACCCAAAACCAGCACCAACATTTTCCATCAACGCACCCTCCCCCAAAACATTCAATAGTTTGAAAAGATCACACAAAAGTCAAAAATCCGTGACGTGATCCTGGGATACTGATGTAAATGTGCAGAAGTGACTGTTACAGCTAAAGTAACGTGAGGAAATGCATGGGGAAAGTGGATTGAAAAATGCGTCTCAGACATGTAAAGCTATTTGACAAAATGGTTATTGTGGTCTGGAAAAGAGGAAACAGTTTAAATGATAAGGCACTGACACATAATCCACACAGAAGCTGACTTTAAAATAATCAAAGAGCAATTGGTGCGGGGGGGAATAAAAATTAAAGTAAAATTATATTTTAAAATTTATTGATGGGATGAGGGTTTTGCTGGCTAGGCCAGTATTTATTGCCCATCCCTAATTGCCCAGAGGGCAGTTAAAACTCAACCATGTTACTGTGGGTCTGGAGCAACATGTAGTCCAGACCTGATAAGGATAGCAGTTTCCTTCCCTAAAGGGCATTAGTGAATCAGATAAGTTTTTCCCAACAATCAACAATGAATTCATGGTCACCATTAGATTCTTAATTCCAGATTTTCTTTTATTGAATTCGATTTCCATCATCTGTTGTGGTGGGATTCAAACCTTGGTTCCTTGATTAACAGGCCAGCAATAATACCACTAATCCATTATCTCCACTTTGCATCGGGACAGTTAGTTAGAGCCTAAGGGGAGAAATACTTAAGAAAAATCTGCAAGTTATGAACAGGCGAAAGGAAAGCTGGTGAATCTTTTAAGTTTGTGCCTAACCTGCCGTTGCAGTTGAATGCACTATAATCATTTAAGAACACAACTGGTATGCAACACCATTCAGATGCAATGGTTGAGGAAGTTGATTTTATGTTTGTGTTTAGTTGTCACTCACAACTTATACTGATATTCTTATTTCTTATACTGCAGTAAAGGATGTCAGGCTGGACAGTTAAGCAGCAGATGCTGATCAATGTGGAACATGGAAGTAATATGTTGTGATATAACAACAGCAGCAAGAGGTACAGAGAATATATCAGCATTTGAAATGTACTAAAGGTGTTGAGGCATTTTGTGTTGAGAAATTCATTCTTTTAAAAAAAGGTGACAGTATAAGTAGATGGCATTACAAAGGGAAAGAGAATCTTCAGCTTTGAAGAGAGGTAGTTTACAAAACCAATGGGGCAATATTGAAGCTGCAGTATCACATAGTTTCAAGCACCTCAATAAAGGGTGGATATCTACGATGCTACTTAGTATGAGGAAGTTCAAAATATGTGTTTAGATTATGAAATCCACCACCACAAACCATGTTTGAAGCAGTATACATAAATGATTTTTAAAAGAGAATATCAAATTTGCCTGACAAAGCAGAGTATTAATGCCGAGTGAGTAGGAGAGTGATGATTGTCAAAGTGCCTCATTAGTAAAATATTACCAATGGGATGAATGGTCTGATCCTGTACTGTGTCATTCTATGACTCCAAGAATTGAATATTGGAAAACATTTTGTTACATATATAGAATAGATACAGGAGAATTGAACACTTCACCATACGTGGTTCCTGAGCCAAATAGAAAAACAGAACTTAGAAGGGAATTAAATCAGCATTTGAGAAAGATGAAATAAGTTAGAGAGTAAAGACAGGGAAATAGAACACAGGTAGACAACTTTTGTAGAGAACTAGCACTGTAACAGGCACAATGGCCTGAATGGCCTCTTTCTGTGCAGCCATTTCCATGGATCTACCCAGTGTATCCTTCTCTTTTAATAGTTCCTTGAGGACTTCCACTTCTTGGACTACCTCAATTATTTACCTCAACTACTTCCAGTGTTGCAGAAACACTGTCTTTAATTATTACATTAGTAGGCTGCCTAGAGATGCCCAAATGGTATCTGCCATTTGCCAGTGTAGTTTAAATGAGGCATGATGCTCACCAGGTATTGATCTATCACTGACCATTTGGAAGCATAGTTAAAACACAATGGACATTAGCCAAAGATGTCACCAAAAGGAGGATCAAGTAGGTTGTACCATGGTCAATCCCCCTGTTAAAGGTGAATAACAACCCTCCGAATCTGCCTCGGCAGTATCTACACTGGCTGTTCTTTATTCAGGCACTTTAATATGTTTATCTCTGAGGTAAATATTAGAACTCAAAGTGGCAAATGGGTTGTTTTGTTCCCTTTCCCTAGCCTGGTGAAGCCAAAAGCACCAACCATTAATCCAGTGTAAATGGCTTCAGGAATGAGAAACTTCAGTTAGGGGGATTTATCGAAGAATATCCTCCTTGGAGAGAAGAAACCCAAGAAGTGGTTTGATGGAGGTTTACAAAATCATGAGTTGATTGGACAGAGTTGATAGGAAGACGCTGTTCCCGCTCACAAAAGAATAACAAACGAGAGGGCAGGGATTTAAAGTGGTGTGCAAACAAAGCAAGGGTGATATGATGAAGCAACATTTTCACTCAGCGAATAATTAGGGTAGGAAGGACTCTCCTTCTCAATCTGTTCCCTTGTCCAAGACATGGTGACCCTCAGATTAAATCAACGCCAGCCTTCTCTCTTTATTGAGAGTGTGGTCCTATGGTCTGGTAAAGACTATGGCGAGTTTTCCTTTACCTTCAGTTACTGTATGGAATACACTGCCCGGAAATGTGATGACAGCAGGTTCAATTGAGGTATTCAATAAGGCATTGGATGGTTATTTGGATAGACATGGTGAGAAGGGACATGGGGTAAAGGCAGGACTGTGACACTAGGGTCCAGAATCTGTGCAGATATAATGGGCTGAATGGCCTCCTTCTGAGCCATAATGATTCCGTGCTTCAGCTGAGATCAGCTAACTCAGCATAGATCAGACTTTGAATATACACGGACAGAATGGTTGTCTTCCACACTGTACTAATTCAGTGACCTATAGCTAGTACAGCACTACTCTGCACAACTCCATACAGTAGATACACATATGACACAGCATTTGATACCTACCTCACATCGATTTTCAATATATCTGAAATTCCGTCAAGGTGAATGATAAAGAAATAATTTGTTTTTTTTTGAACAAGAATAAGCCAGTAGAAAGTATTAAACCATATTTCACACCTGACCTAAATAAAGCACTTTAGTGCTACAAGACAAAGGGGCTAGCAGGGACAGTCTGACTTATTTAAATGAGATTGCTGTTTCAGTGAGAACACTGTTTATTTTTATGTGGATCTACAGTGTCCAGAATCGTGGTTTGCAGCCTACAGTAATGAGCTTGATAGAGTTTGATAGAGCAATGATATTAAGGGTTACAGATTGAAAGAGGGGAGACAAAGACAAGATATAGATTAACCATGATCTGACAGAAAGGCAGAAAAGACAAAGAGGCTGAATTGCCTATTCCTTCCTAAATATGTCACTCCTCCACTCTAGGGCAACCTAACAGTGCATCCCTACAGTCGAAAAAAATTTGTAATTAATTATTAAAAATATCAATTGCAGCAGCACATAAAATGTACTCTTCCTGCTTGACCTGAAGGGAAGTACAAAGTTGAGTAATGAAGATAAGTGGTAGCAGTTTACAATAATATACCTACACAGTTATGGCTCTCAAAGCACCTGGTCAGGTTTCAGGCGTACTTGCGTGAATAATGTCAAAAAGTGGACTAGGAAACGTTAAGAGTTAGCACTGCTGGGTTGTTTCCCATTATGGGACAGTCTATGATCAGAGGGCATAATCTTAGAGTAAGGGTCACCTAGTTAAGACAAAGATGAGGAGGAATTTATTTTGTCAGAGGGTAGTGAATCTATGGAATTCTTTATCTCAGAAGGCCACAAAAGCAGGTCAGATTCTCAGAATCCTGCAGAGTAACTCAGCTTCTGATTCGTCAAAGCCTGTCAAAGAAAGATAGAAAATAGGAGCAGGATTAGGCCATTCTGCCCATCTGTCACTCAATATGACTGTGACGGATCAGCCAACTCAGTACCCTATTCCCACTTTCTACCCACATACTTTGATCCCTTTAGACCTAACTATATTGTTCATGATGTAGATGTCCACCATCAATACACCATCTGCTAGGAACAAGTCAGAAGTGTGATGGAATATTCCCTACTTGCCTGAATGAATGCAGCTCCAACAGTACTTGAGAAACTTGACACCATCCAGGACCTAGTAGCTTACTTGATTGATAGCATGACCACAAACAACTTGCTCACTCCACCAGTGACGCTCAGTAGCAGCAGTGTGTGCCATCCCTGTGATGCAGAACCTCACCAAATCTTGTTAGACATCTCTTCCCAAATCCATAAACACTTTGAGATAGTAAGAACTGCCGATGCTGGAGTCTGAGACAACACAGTGTGGATCTGGAGGAACGCAGCAGGCCAGGCAGCATCAGAGGAGCAGGAAAGCTGACCCTTCTGGGTCCCGACCCGAAACATCAGCTTTCTTGCTCCTCTGATGCTGCCTGGCCTGCTGTGTTCCTCCAGATCCATAAACACTTCCATCTGGAAAGAGAAGGTCAACAGATACATGGGAATACCACCACCCATAAATCCCCCTCCCAACCACTCACGACCTGACTTGAAAATATAATCGCAGCTCCTTCATTGTTGCTGGGTCAAAATCCTGTAACTCCCTCCCTCACAGTAATATTTACGCAAAACAAATGAACTGCAGCAGTTCGAGAAGGCGACACAAGACCGCCTTCTCAAGGACGGCTAGGGACAGGCAATAAATGCTAGACTCCAGCCAGAAAAGCTCACCCCCACAGAATGAATGAATGAAAATAAATCACTATCCTCTTCATAGTAAGTCTTGTTTCATCTACAATTTGGAGACTGTGCCCAACCTACCAAGTCTAGATTATTTGTTTGTATTAGGAAGATAAATGGGCCTAACAGCAAACTCGAAGGGTACCTCAACATGTACATTCTTCCAGATAGAGGCAGTGGTCATGTCACTGCGGTAGCAACACAGACTCGCAATTGCAACTGGTGGAATATAAATTTCATTAATAAAGCTGAGATTAAAAACTAAGCTCAGTAATGGTGATCGTGAAACACCAGCTGCACTACACTCCTTTAGCATTGATACCCTACCTGGCCACAGCAAATTTGTTGACTCTTGCAATGGCAGAACAAGCCAGTCAGCAAGGGTAACTAGGGAATGGGCATCAAATACTAGCATTGTTAGTGATGCCCACATCCCAAAAATGAATGAAGACAATCCAGAACAAAGCAGCCCACTTAATTGGTGTCACATCCACAAACTGCACACAGTCACCCAAGGCAGGAATCGAATGTGGATCCCTGTCACAAGTAGGTCACTGTCAAACAAAGTACTGTGGATTTGGAGTCATATGTGGGGCCAGAGCTGATCAGTGGTAACCACAGTGCTGTGGGTCTGGCTCACATGTAGGGCCAAAGCAGGTAAGTTTCAACCACAGTGTTGTGGGTCAAGAGTCACATATCTCTGTGTAATCACAGTCTCTAACCCTAACATCTATCAGTCAACCACGTTCATCTCCATGCTGCCACTGTTCTTTTTGTTCCATGAGCCTCATCTTTGCTGGGAAGGCTATTATGTGGCACGTTTGCTAACTTGGCTGAGTTTTTTAATGAGGTCCCAGAGGGTTGACATGGTATTTAATAAATAACGTTGCCATAGTCCCAAAGGGTGGTCACTCATTAGAGAGGTACAACTGGTAAGGGTAGTAGTTGAGGATGTGGGACCTTCATGGTAACCTCAGTTGTTACGGGAATTGAATCCAGGCCGTTGATGTCACTCTACCTTGCAAACCAGCCAACCAGCCAACTGATATTGACATGTTATAAACACAATTTGCCATGCTAGCTTTCTTTAATTAATCCACGTTCCCATGTTTTTGCCAATAACTTATTTAGGGGAGGTACTGGCCTAGTGGTATTATCACTAGGCTATTAATCCAGAGACCCAGATAATGTCCTGGGAACTTGAGGTCAAATCCTACTGTGGCAGATGGTGAAGTCTGTATTCAATTAAAAAAGAAA